ATATATTATATATATATATAATAATATATATATATATATATATATATATATATATAAAATACAATATCTTTTAAATAGTTTAGATGTAAAATAAAATTTTCAAATTTTTTCACAAGTTGACATATTTTTTATATATAAAATTATTATCAAATTATTATTTAAAAGCTGGGGATAGCTCGATAAGCCAAAAAGCCAGCTTTTATATTCAATTCAATTATTTTACAGTTAGAAACAAACTTTTCTGCGTGCTATTGAAATTTTATGGAAAATTTTATCGATCTACTAAAGCAGTTGGTTAACTTTCGAGATCTTGCTTCAACCACCACTTCTTCCCAGCTGGCAAAATAAACAATTGCTACCCGATGAATGCGACGGATCGATAGCTTCTCGAGTGCTCTCGAGATTGAATAAATTTTATCTCGATAAGAAAGTTCTGACTTCTATCGAACTTCCGTGCTCGAGCTTTTAAATAAAGGTTGTTATCAGTCCAAGTATTTTATTTTCGGTAAGAAAAAAAAATGTCTAATAAAGCAAGATTAAAATTTATTCGCTTAATAGATTTTATCTAATAAATATGTTTATTAATATTGCTAATCAAATGCGTTGTTATATTTTAATGAACTTTAATAAATGTATAATTAAAAAATATTGGATACATTCATATAGAATAAATGTACTTTTAATGAATTAAAGTTAATTTAATCTTTCATATTATTTTTAAATATAAGTATTACTGTGATAAAATAACGTTATAAAATAGAAAACGATTTTAATATTCTCAAAGAATCTTTAGAATTTTTCAAATATAAGGAACGCCGTTATTAAAAACGAGATCTTAACAAGAAGATAATAATATCATTAAACGGCGAGCTAATAATCGTTTGTCGATAGTTCATTTTTGTCGAAAGGAAGAACTTCGATAAAACAAAATTGGGATGTGACTGGCAGAAAAATCGTTATCGAATAAGATCTCGTTCCGCTCTGTATCGAAAGAAAATAGGAGGGCAGCAATATCGTGGAACCGAAAATAATTCCGTGTATGTCTTGGTAAATCGCGCGGGAGCAGATAACAGATATGTAATAAAGACGATTGTCGATAAACG